GGACGATTAGAAATTTACCTAAAAACTGATCAGCCGACAGCGACGCGGAACGATGACAAACTTCGTCCAGTTGAAACAGTTGAGAAGTCTGATTGCAGGCTTGTGCCAAACGCGAATTGCGCATCGGGGAGGAGAGCTTTTGTTCGTCATAATACACGGCGCTGAAAATCCACTAGTAAACTAAATCAAACACTTAGTGAAGCATTATAAAAATTGAAACAAAGTTTCTGATATTACCGTTGTTGTGGGAAACTCAACGAAAAGAGAAAATTATTAAGCTACACAGGAATTACATCGCAAAATATGAAACGCTACGGTACGCAATTATCGGAAGTAAATTTGTAGAGATCTGCTTCATGTACGACAGAATAGGTTTTAGTAAAAAAAAAACTAACAATATTTTAAAATAGGCATGTACAAACAATAAAATGAAAGTAAGCGACAAAGTTAATAAAGAGTCGTAATTAACAAGTGATTAAATCCTCACCCCGGATCACGTTGGTGATACTTCGTGCTTATTTCACTTCTTTCTTCAAAAGCAGTGTAAGGGTGATGAGTGAACTGCAACAGAAAAAACCTGTAATTTTCTGCCTAAAATAAGTTTTTCATGCAAGATCATTAAGAATAACCTGGATTTCGCATGAATATTCAAACGCAGATTTTTTTTTCTCAACTACTAAACGTTCCGAACCATTTTCGTACTTGCAAAGCTTCTCGGAAGACATGTCTTGCACGTCTCTGTAAAAATCATTTTTCGCTAAAATGTTAACCTGCAAGTACATTTGCAAGATAAAGAAAGACCAAGGATTATAAAAATGAAAACCTTTCCCGTCTTTGTTTTCTAAAACGTTGCAGTAGCCAGCAAGTGGCGAGCATAAAAGAAACTCTGAAGTGAACATTTTTACTGCTTTTACTAGATTAAACTCCATACTCATTAAGCGGTATCGAAAGAAGTGTTTTTCGTTTTACACGTTTACAGGAACGTTTACGTTTTTTCTTCCCAGAGAACCAACCGACGGAGGCCTTCTGATCTTCGCCGGAAGCTATTTTGCTAGAACAGTCCAAATCCTCCTGCAATCTCTTAAAAATTTGTAATTATGCAGATGAAAAGCTATGGGAGAATTTATCCTTGAAAGGAAACATCAGATTAGGAAAATAAACATCCTCCCGATAACGAATAAATGACCACATCACTTATATTACCTCACTTTGAAGTCCCTCCGTGTCTTCCATGACAGCCCGTCGCGTACGGAACAAACATAGCGCATTTTTATGTGTAGGTGAATCGATGTGCTAAAAAAATCTATGAAAAGCGTCGAAATTAGCGAAAAAAAATGATAAAAGTAGTTCTACAGTTTCTTATAACGATAAAAAAACCTTTGAGTACTCTGGTAACTCTTTACAATTAAAATGGCAAAGATCACAGTCATGCGGCTTTCCCGGAGTAAGCATTTCCAATTTAATATGGTGAATGAGGGAAACGAGGTGTTCTTTGGCTTCCTAAATTTATAAATTCAAACCTACGATTACTGCAACAGTTCCACGAGTAACCAGTCAAAAAAAAAAAAAAAATGTCTTTGTATAATCGTTACTAGACCTCTAAATTCTAGCAGAAAGAAAAAAACAACTCATTAAATGATAATTGATATAAGCACAAATTATTAAAATTATCTTCCTCGAGTTCATGACAACCAAATGACACAGAAAAAAACTGAACTACAAAAAAGAAAAGCGTACCCAAATTGTTGTAAACGACGTATTGCAAGTGTCACACCTTCCCATTGCTGAAACTGAAGACTAATTTGGAAATTTTGCAGAATCATGACAGTATAAGCAGGTAACCGAGTTAAAAAAGATTGCAAAGTTAATAAACGAACAGAAGTAGCTAGTTGTGAACTCAGAAAATCTTTACCAAACACGATTATCATAAACTAATAAAAAAAAAAATAAATAAATAAAATAAAGTAAACAAGCACAAGAACGTGACAAATTCAACATCGCCGCTAGCCATTATCAGTACTAAAACTCTATTCAAAAACTTTTAATTCCCAAAAGTAATACTTATCAAGTATCAGGTAGTTAATCCGTCACGTGACGTCATTGAAACAACCGGAATAATCGGGAAATGCAACTCCACCGCTGTTCATAGCAAACTGTACAGTGAGCGGCGCCGCCAAAAAACGGCCTCCAACGGTCAGCATAGCACAGTGGGTCAGCGCCTACATCAAGTTATTAGTTGATGGTGTCAGCAGTTGGGAGTTCTTCGCCGGCCCGGTTGTTCCTTGTGCCTCTTACAGTTTTTTATGCAAAAGCTGTTGTCGTCGATCCAACAGTAATTGATGAGTCGCTGTAAACATCTGAAAGAGTTCTGGAACTTGATCCGTACATAAAGTTAATTTCTGCAGGTAGAATAAAAAGCTAGAATATGCTTAACGCGTTTCATTCAGTGCGTTCGATTTCCGATGCGTACGCCACAGTGTTTGCTACTGGTTCAAAAATCATCATTTCAGTGTTTACACTTGGTTTTTAGCTGTTGGTTGTAATCGCCGAAAACGCGATTAAACTGACAAACTTCAAGAGCTCTTTCGGGGTCCGTTCGAATTCCGGAAAACACTGTTTGAGTATAACTTTTTTACAAGAAGATTTTTGAACGAAATAACATTCTTGAGGTGTGGCATAGCTATAGACCGCTGTAAACAGAAGGTAAAAAATCAAAAAGGAAAACGATGGCAACAAACATATATGTTAAAAACAAATATCTGTACATGCACAGGAAAATCATTTGAATTATACGACTTCTTAAAATATTATTGGCAAAAAATGTACTGCTTGCTCAAAGATTTAAACTATATTCATTTTTACTTCTGTACTTCTTAACAAAATTGAACGCATATGTTTACTATAAGTAGCTGGAAAGTTTGAATGAACGGCATCATCTTGAACATAAATTGAATCTTCTGATTTAGGTGGTTGAATACATTTCAGAGATAAGATGGTGGCAAATAGCTTTTTAGATAGTAGGCTGTTTATGAGACCACAAAAATATACAGTGTAATCAACTGTTACAAGCGATGTGACATCAGTATTGGTGCAGTAATTATTCAACTACTTGGGCTTTATTTGCCACTCCAATTCCCCACTGTAGTGCTACGGTATCGCAGCTCAACACACTACAGAATGCTGAATGGTATCGCCGAAAAATGCGATGATATATAATCAAGTTAGGGATGTCTTCTTTCCTTGCTCATTAACCTTCCTATGTATTTCTCTAAAACTTATTATGGCAGGCACCTTAGCATCTAGAATCTTAGATTAAAATATGTACTGATATGAAGTATTTCAGTTTTCACAAGACCTGATGACTTCATAAAGATAAAAACTAACTGCTTTTTTTTCTTTTGAAACTAATGGAATAGAATATAGATTAATCAATTTACAAAACGTTGTTTTTCTTCCTCAAAACAGCTTTCTTGAACTAGTAACAGCTAGGTTTTTTTTTAGTTCTTCCAATTACATTTAGTCTGACGAATTCAAATATCGTCATTGTTTAAGTAATTTTTTACAAGATTTTCCATTATTGCATATATCCAACAGGTGTTGTGTTAATTTACTATTTGCAATTAAAATAAGTTGCGAAAGTTTGCTTGCTACCAGACTGCATTAATTTAACAATGTCATCGTTGAATTATGGATATTCAAGTGATTGTGTTCAAGATAAAATCATAAAAAATGTCATTAATTATAGCAGCTTTATAACGGCTATTCCTAAACCACTGTATTGATTTATTTACTGTTCAGAAATGGCAATTCTCAAAAAGTTCTAAAAGGTGTATTCTGTCGATGATGTACATATGGCTACAAATGGTATAATCTTGATTGAATTGAACCAGCATCTAGAATCTTGATAAATTATATGACATTAAAAAGAAATTGGCTTAATCCAGTACTTTATTGTTCTCTAACTTAAATGTATTCATCAAAGATAACTCAAGTTACAGCAGAAATGTTGGAATAGTCTTTTAAAAGTTGTTTAAGACCAAAAGACAATTTTCAGACTGTCTTTCAATCTTATCGGTATGAGCAAAACAAAACAAGTAACAGGAACAGCATTAACCAATTTTCCTTTTCCTTCGCTAGTTTTTTTTTTTTTCCTTTGCAGTCTCCTAATTTTCCAAATCATTGGCTTTATTGGTCATGATTTTTTTCTTTCGTTTTATTAGTAAATAAGCTTTACTTAAAATCTTATTTCGTTCACAAAAAACAATTTTTATTTGTTATAACAAAATTTATTGCTTCATAATCTTTAGTCTGACATAAATTATTTTTTAACTTTGCTATGCATTTCTCCTAATTTAGTTATTGTCTTTGTTCTGATTTCATTTTGCGAAAGTTTGTTGCTTCAAAGTTTGGTGTAATTTGAAATTGACTATTTTTTATCAGTTACAGTAGGATACAAAATTTTTTTTCATGTTAAAGACTCTAATTTTTATAATTGAGATAATAACTAAAAAAAGTTTTTTTTTTTTAGTTTTGGGAAGGAAATTTGATAAAAGTTTATGCCGAGAAAAGCGTAACACCAAATAATTAATTTCAGATCACAATTTAAAGTCTACATTTTGTTTATTGGTTTGTTTAGTTTGTCCTGAAAATTACATCCAAGAATAGCTAAAAATTGAGCAGCCATTGACCAAAGATGATAAGGTTTCTATTTTCTATGACGAGAGATAGCGAACTGTTATATTTTTGGAAAATTATGTAGAATTTTTGAGAAAAAACTATTGTTACCAATTTCTTGTTGGCTGTAAACTTTGAACAATTTCAAATCACTGAACTGTCGTATTCTTAGAGTTTTAATTCATAAAACTTTAGATGTATCTTATTAATTTATTACTGTATAGTTGTCTTGTCAACTACTGTATTCCATCACTGCATAAGCTCATTCTGCAGACAGAATGAAGTCATTTTTTTTTTTGTCATCTGATTGCAACCTGTATTCCTGTTTTAAAAAAACATTTCTCATGTGTATAGTTTTACTAAAACCTTAAACAGATTTCAATTTTTCAGTAATAAAATTAGAAAATTTTGTGATTTTGTTAGCACCAGGCAACATTGATAAGTAAAAAAAAGAAAAGCCAGAGTTATTACCAGAGTATAGCTGAGTAAGTTTTAAAGCTTCAGAAATCCTCTGTTCAAAAAAAAAAACCTAAGTTTTTCAAAACTTTCTTACTTTTTTTGATGACACATTTTTAAAGTTAGCAGAAAAGAAAAAAGGTAGATTCAACTTTTGCATTTAACAAAAACTATGCTTAAAAATCTGATTATAGCTGTAAAAAAAAAAAAAAAAAACAATAATAAAAATAAAAATTATTTTCTTACAATCTCTGTAAACTTTTATTAAAAAAATGTCTTTCTTTTTTTTTTTTTGGTTACTAACTGTCTCTTTTCTTTGTCTGTAACAGAAACAAATTTTTTTTCAAATATATAACATTTTATTAGTTGGCAATTTTAGATTTACAAAACATCCAACAAATGAACAAAGCTGAAAAGAATTAATAGAGACGAAAAACTGACAGCAAAAATTTTCACAAATTTTTTTCAAAGATTTCTTGTTCAAAATGATAATTTTTTTTCATTTTAAAATGATTGTGTTCTTTTTTGATGCAGTTCAAAAATTGATAAGTTGAAAAGAAGTCAAAAAAGTTTTCAAATAAAATTTTACTGCAAAAAATACTAACAAATTTTTTGCTGTTTTTCAGTGTTTATTTAACCAAAAAAGCTGCTATTTTTTGGCTTTGAATACAGTATAGAATAAATAATTTTGTTTGCTGTTACTGCTGTTACAGCAAAACATTTTTATGTATAATTCAACGATATTAAATTTAAAAAAAAAAAAAAACTTAAATTTAACACTGTTCTGTTAATAAGGTTAATTAAAAATCAGTGTTTTTTAAAGATTGAATAGAAATAGTTGTATTATAATGTAAACAGAAGCACTTTTAAGATAACTTTTTTCTTTCATCTGTTTGAGACAATTAGAAAAAATTGTAGTTTTAACAGAGACTTCTTTCTATTTTCTTCCCATCTTTTGTTCTTCCTTCTTCGTTTTCATCGACAGTCCTTCTGGTTCTCTGCTTTTGGTATCTGTTGAAACATCTATAATTTTGGTTGGTCAAAAGCGACAGCCAACAACTGTTATCGTCGTTCCAACTGAGTATAGCCTCAAATTTAAAAATACTTTAGAGTATAGAGATTTTAAAGCAGAGTATTGATGATATATATCAATTTAAACAATACTAATATGCCAATAATAAAAACAAAAAAAAAAAAAAA